CTACACAGGTTGCGTACTTTTAAAATGTGCTCCTAGCAACAATGACGTTACAATGATAATCGTCACAGTCACCTTACTCATAGAAGTACTTCTATGCCTTACTGTAACGTTGCCAAACAGTGGTTGCCAAAGTAAGGTTGGGTTGTGACGTGATGGTGTCGCTGATCTGTCACAATATCAGTCCGGTTACGTCATGCGTTGTGAAAATTGTGACATCATAGAATGTTTCCTTACTACAGTGACTACAGCATTGCTTTGGGGTAAAACACGGAGAACTGTAATGAGTAACAGAAAACTGAAAAAAAAAAACTTTTTTTAAAACAAATCGTGATGGACTATTGTGGAAATAGATATCGGAGAAAAGGTTAGTGAATTAAGATCTGTTTTAGGCGTTTCAGTTTATGAGGTAGGAGAGTCGAAATGGTACCGGTCGCGTGGGGGCGACCAGGACACACACGTTAGAGACATCTGAGAGTAAGGCTATATTCCCAGAGCTTTTAGATCGATCTATCCCCGCGGGGAGTCTCACTAGATTACTGTCAGATAATCCGGCTTAAATGTCCGCCCCGCCTACTACAAGCTGTAAGGGGGTAATTAACTTTCGTGTCCGCTCGGCTGACAGTTATTTAGCGTGAACCCCAGGGAGTTAGGTCGATCTAAAGTAGATCGATCTAATCTCTGGAAATGGGGTCTAGCACTAACTGCTCACCGCTTGGTACACTTGGTGTGTTTCTTCATTGCGTTTAGTCTTCGTTACAACTAACACATTCTTAAACTGGTGGACATGATTGTCATAGAATTGTTTTTATTGACAAAACCTTTATAATAACCATTTTCCATTCATTTCCATTCATAAAACATATAACGGGCCTCTTAATAATTGTTTAAATTTAGTTCGATCCTTCTTTCTTTTACATATTAGGCAGTTTGGATGTTTCAAACATGGCACATCAAGGTAAGAAAATCCAGACCTAACCGAGCTAATTTTAATTTTGACACACACAAAAAAAAATAAATTTCAGAAAAAAAAGAAACTCGAAGAGATAGTGTGGGGATTGTTATATTGAACGTAGTCTTGCTTTGTATTTATAAATATCTTGCATTTATCTCCAAAGACACGATGGATATTTCTGCTGCTAAGTAATCACTACATGTACTTCTGCTAAAAAATACATTTCAACTCGAAGTCAGAATTTGAAGTGTGCATGTCACGCGTGGAAAATGTAAGATGCGGTTTTTAAAAGTATAACTACATGATATTTGTGAGATTGAAACCCAACAGTTTGGTGGACTGTAGAAGTACAAAAAGTGTCGAGGACGCCACAAAATCCCTTAATTGTATCATCCCCCCCCCCTCTTTTTACTAGCTAGCTTACCTACATGACTCTTGTTTATAATTATGACAACTACCGAATTTAAATGGCGCACTCAACCAAGAAAACTTTCGCTTTCCCGATAATATTCAAACAGTGCGAAAATTCCGTATCAGTAGTACCCGGTCATTCACGTTCATATATGAATACCTTATTTCCGTGTAATAGCTTTATACAACATTTAAAACGTCTTAATTTATGGGTATACTGAATTCTATTAGTCATACCTTTATATTAGGCATAGAAATTATTGTATATTATCATAAGAATATGTTATTTAACTACTGTGGCAGCGGTATGTGACGGTCGTGACTGTTATATCATACTTTGATATACAAATAACGTGTTAAACATGAGGATGCCTCCAGCTAGTACGGTGTCTAAATCACTTAACCCGGAACTTTCTATTCAATCCATTAATTTATGAATTATGGTCAATTAGTAACGCATTTTTTGGGTATCTGTTATAGAAAATTAGATCGAATTAAATATAAATACATATTTGCATGGGTTTTTCTGAATTTCACATTTAAATGTCTTGAATTTTAGGTACTTTGTGTGTAATAGCGTTAAGCACATTAAGTATAGAAAATGCGTATTAAAAGTAAATGACGGGGGGGGGGATTATTACACGAAAAAAAAATATCTTTTTAATATATATCGTCAGTATCAAAAGTGTACACTGAGGTAGTCACTAATTATTTTAATCATACACAAAATCATCTTTTTGTTACACCGACGGTAATAAAAAAGTACATCGTACGTGTAAATAACTGTATAAACAAACAATCCAAGATTGCTGTGGTTTAAGAAAATAATAATAATTATGAGAAGATAAAAAGCGTGCAAAAACACCAATATTTAGCAAAAATTAAATGCAAATATTATCTACACTCAGCTTGTTGATGTTTATGTAATCAGGAGATAGTCTCCAGTGATAAGTTTAATTACCATCAGACTTGCTGATTTAACCCTGCGATATCGCGACAGGCCCCTTATTCTCGTTCCCCCTCTATGCACCCATCTCACTCTGGTGTCACACGATATGCTAATGTCGTTCTTCTTGGCCTACTTGGCTAGAATATTAACCCGTTCCGTGTGGGTTAACTTATGCTAATGTCTTTTTATCTCATGCGTAAATCGAGTCGACGTCTCGCCTCAGTCAGTGGCATATGGGACGAACCTCTCTCTTGACACAGGCGCGTTTATGGAACAAAATGGCGACTTGAAAGAATAAGCAAAGCGTATGTTTTTCATCTCCAGAAGGAGAAAAGAGGAAAAGGAGACGAGGTGTGATTTTTGCCCAAACCAAGGAGTTTGATAGTGTATTTAATTCACTGAACAAAAATATCCTTGAAGGAAACATGACTTGAAAACATGAGGACATATTACCATATCCAAACCGCGGTGGTTTTTCTGTGGATCCTTTACAAAGAAAGTTCAGGTAAGTTCGTATCAGGCTAGTTGTGCCTTAATTTTCCTGGTTGAAGATGTCGTGAACTCCCAGAAATAAGCGAGTTAGTCTACCGTTATCTGGCTGTTATAAAAATAGCATTACTCATATACAAGTAACGACCTGTATTGAAGAAACATATATTGCTTCGTCTAAAATAGAAATGAAAAGCAATGATAATGGTAATAATGAATAAAATAGAATAATAAAAAAACACCACCATCAAAATCTATTTAAACCTGCTTCGGTTTCAAACATCCTCTATAAAAGAAGGGTTCATCTTTAACTCCACTGTTTTCCAAGAACGTCATATAAATAACAAATAGAAATAATAGTACACAGTAATTCGTATGTTTATAAATTCTTTGTCCCATTGCCTGGATGTAAAGAAATTAAAATAAACTGTTTTTATTAAAAATTATCCGTATAAAGTTAAACTCCAAGACAACTACATGTCTGCCAAATGTGATTTCTAAGCTCTTTTTAATTATAAGACCACCACTCCACTTCTTTGCAGAGTCACGACACATCTCTAGGTGTGTCGTTACCATCTTGTCAGGTACCATAAGTTAAATTAGGCGAATCTCCCCCCCCCCTCCCTAACTCCAATGAAACGAAACGTCGTGTCATCTGAGAAATCACAGCTTCGTTACTCTGAAAGCAACCAATTAATATGAATTCATTTTCTAAACGCTGAAGCCATTTTGAATTCTAATTTTGTCCCCAAAACAAATCTAATGGCATGTATTATGTAAATAATTTGTATTGCTTCAATATACTGTAGTTTACATTTATAAAAGGCAATCAGCATTACAGACACTTTCACAAATGCACACACAGAGACAAATATCAAACGACAAAACCTCTTATAATGATTATAATATTTTTTCTTTTTTCATTGTGGTCAGTTTTTTTATGAGTGAAGTATTTTGATCTTTCTCTATAGATATGTCTTATATCATGATGAATATGCTCTCTTGCATTCTCGTGCGAAATAAGACATAGTTTTCCTCTGGACATAGCTCTACATAACTATGATCTTACCAAATTTTCACAGTTTTGCAAGCGTTTGTGGTGACCTTGAAATATATTTTGTCATGAGAACTATTGTTAATAAGCACTTGTCTGACCATATGAAATTGTTGGTTGTATGCTGTTGCGGTTTTTGGAATTCTGCGAATCATGCTCCGAACTAAGTGCTTTTTAAGTGTGGCAATTAAGTATTAACAGGATGCATGTTTGCAAAAGGATTTGACAATTTTTTTTCTGTAATATTTATTATTATTATTATATTTATTATCATTATTTTGGCATCTGTTGCACGCACTATTAATCTTTGCTTGGTTATCCTCTTATTAGTACTACCAGTACAATCCCGAATACCTTCTCATGTTTTTCGACTTAGAACTATTAAATAGCAGTGAATTTTAATTATCAGTTTTTCTTATCACGAGTATATCTCTTTTCTTGCACTGATGAAATTAATCATTACATTATAATAACTGCTCAGAGAATTTACTAAGGCCTACTTTAGAAATCACCTGTCATGGTTAAAAATTGCAGCTCGCGCGTTAGGGCGCATGCGCAATGCACCCTATTTAAATGCATGCTCACGAAACCATATCTTCATGTATGTTTTATTTACGCCACGAAAAGCGCATCACTGGTCAACTGTGTTTATCTCTTTCAATGTCCACCATCACGGGACGAATCGCATTTCAATAAAAGGCTTGTTTAATCTAACAAGAGTAATTTCAGTCACCCAAAATCAAATAGCCTACATGGTCGAATGCGTCATCGTTAAGGCAGTTTTACTTGGACCGAAATACTCACATTATCTTATATTAAAACCCTAGATGGAATCTCGTATAAACGCATTATTCTGTGGTGTAATTATGATAGGAATATTATACCTTTACAAGAGATACGACACTGGCAATTATAATACTGTTATTTGGAATGTAGGCTGCTAAATGGAATTTTTGCCTTCACATTGTGACTTTGCCACCAAAAATCAACCAGCCTTTATATGCTTTGGTAATTTTCTTTTGTAAGAGGTGATGTGAATGCCACCGACTTCAACGTGCGAAATAGAAGTTTGGTTGAAGTTGTTCTCATATTTTGCTACAGATTTTTTCACCACTGAAAAATATTTAATTTACTTTTGCACGTGCCTATATTTTCTTTGTCCTTGTTTTGGAGAGGGAGAGAAGGAGAGTTTTAGAAAAAGAAAAAAGAAAAAAAGGCGCGGCAAAACCAGGCATGTTATGTTCGTTTCATCAAAGGAAATTATCGTGCCAGTACGAGGTGATCTATATTGTGTATTAGCAAGGCTGCAAATCATGTTGTTGTTGTTGTATATTCTCACATGTCCAAGCACATATCTGTTTGTTTTGATTGTTTTATGTCGTGACCGGACACAATTTCGGCCATTTAAGACATCCGTACGACCTTGGGTGTGACCACAACACATCCCTTTATATAGAGCCCCGTGACACGACGGACTCGAATTAAACCAACCATCCAGTGCAGTATTGTGAAATAAAGTAGAATTTAGAAGCACCATGAAAAAGGAGCTGTCACAACAAAGGACAAACAAATGATCGGTTCGGCCAATTGCGTGTTCTTTTGGGTGACAGAAACGGTCGGTATTTGAGCACATTAAGGTAGCCAAATATAGGCATCCAGTTATAGAGAAATGAAATTTATAATATTTTGAAAGTCGCGTGAAAACATGCAATGTCAAACCTAGCAAATACATATGTGGGGGTTTCCTCTTAAAAAATGGAACCATGGATAATTTATATTAACCCAAATGTGACAAAAATGCATCATTAAGGCCTACAAAGTACTTTGTTGTTATCTCGGTCGCATGAAGTGCAGCCATTATGGGAATAAGACGGTATAATGAGTTAGACTGGAATTTGGCTGATATTGCAATAACTGTTTATGAAATATATATCGGTTTATTATATAAAGATATATATTTTTTTCATTAACAAACTGGCAACAAAATTACCAACTAGAGAAATGCGACTTATTAATCTGTTCATTTTTTTTTCACACCTGTAGAAAAGGGGGGTCGAAAGAAACACCTTTATGGTCGGTAAAAGGCTAATTCTGAATCAAAAATTTTCCTTGGTTCTGAGAACACAGGTACGAGCATGAGTAGTCAAAAGGTTCACGTTTTCAAAAGAAGAAAAAAAAACTAGAAACTGCTGACTTCAGACCTGTAGTTATTTATTATATCTTTATTACGTCAGATATTTGCGGTACCATACTGTTTTCAAAGTTTTTTTGTTGAGCTGTTGACTGTTATGATAAATGCGTGTCTGCGCAGCACGCAAAAGACATTCCTGACTCCATATATGGCAACGAGGTTTAGCAGGGCTTGAAAACCGCGCATGGCAGCTGTGACATTTGTTGTCATGGTGCATTAGTGGATATGCCAAGGATGCAAATATAAACTAGCATTCTTGTAACTATTTTGTATTCAGCTGTATATCACTCAGGCTTTATGTCTGAATATCCATGTCTGAAATGTTTCAAGGCCAAGTGTAAACTTTGGTTTAAACTTGCTGTTTGTACCAACAGATGTTTCTAAGTTGCACCTCAGGAAATTGTCAGAAAAAAACTAGGAAAGCAGATCAAAATACAAAAATACAAAAATCAAAATACAAAATAAGCCATCTACTCTTTCGTTGTAAACTTATACTGCTATCACACTCCATATTTGAGTTATATATTCATTTATTTATTTTTCACTTTCGTTTTTCTTATTATTATCCTTGCAGGTCAAGGCAGCGCCAATAAAACGAAGGTCAACTGTGGCCCGGGAGACTATATCAATCGAGATGCAAACGCGTGTAGACCATGCGGCATCGCCACATTCAATCCGTTCCCAAACGCAGAGGTGTGTTTTCCCTGCCCAGAGGGGCAGACGACAGAAGTCATTGGCGCCAAATATCATGGAGATTGTATAGGTAACTGAATGGTTCTAAACTTATAAAAACAGAGAGTTGTGGATTTTTTAAGCAATGTTTGCAGACCTACACGGGCAAAATGATCAAAATATAATCGATCATAAAGATACATGTATTAAAGTGGGGTTCCCTCTGCCAGTCCTGTTTTTCCCGTCAATAATATACATAAATAATATATATAACTTATGAGAGCTGAGTTACCTTGGCGGAGTGCTTATTATAAATAATATATATAACTTATAATAAGCACTCCGCCAAGGCAACTCAACTCTCATTATTACCAGTTCCAATGGGCCATCACTAAAATCTAATTGATTCTTAGGTAGGCTTACATGTAGCCCATATCTGTCTAAGCCTGAATACGTTATCAAAATCCGTTCATAACTTTTTGAGTTAAACTTAACTAAAAACCAACAAAGCGAAATGGAGGTAATGGAGACTAGCACGATAGAAGAGAAAAAGCCTTGTAAAGCACTGATGTGTATTAAAAGCATCCTGACGCCGAAGTGGGTTGGACTTGGCATGACCCTCGTGGTTCTTTCATAAAATGGCGGTCATTGTTCACGCCTAATGTGTAACAGAATCGAACAAAAGCTGCCAGTCCAAAAAGGTACCGAGTACTTAAAGAGTTCAGTGTCCTCTCTATTACAGAGCATAGTTATAGATGGTCATTTGAAAGTAAAGTCTCCCCGTCAATTTACCCATGATGTGAAAATGGTTGGTGGTGACGCAACCATGGAAACGGGTCAAAATCCAAGATGGCCTCCGTGGCTTTCGCATAACCAGGCACCAGAGTTTGTGGCTGTTCTCACGACCAATTTTCCAAACTTAAAGACATAAAGGTGGTGGGCAAATGTAAAAACAATGATGAAAATTATTGACTTGTTTTGTTAAATGCAAATTGTGCTTTGTACTGCTTCAGAGACCACCGCACAAAGTTCGCATATATGATGATGGGACCACTTAATTTCATTGCCAATAAAACATTTAAATCTATTAACCATTTGCACGGTATAAACAACAAAGAAACTGGTTTCAATCTGGATTTAACATTTTAGAAACTTTATTCAAATGCTCAAAGAGGATCGAGTAAGATAACTTAAGATACTATATCATTTATGGTGGCCATATGTAGTTATGCATGTATGATATAAGTAGTAGGGCCTATTGACTGTCCTTGCAAATGAGTACTAAATTGGTTCACCGTGCATGAAACCATGTTATACGTTTATCTATTTATTTATGCATTTATTTAGGGGGGTGGGGTGGGGTAGGCGCTCCCGTTTTCGTTTATTTCAATCAGTTTACACTTAATTACGGGAGGGGTAGCGGAGCAATATGAATGTTGTTAGATCATTCCGGTGATGGGATAGCAACAGGCTTCCTTTATTCCCAATCACAGAATCTGCGGCTAGCCCCACTGAATGCCCTATTACTCTTAAACTAGGTACCTTGCCCTTGACTAAAAGGGTTAAGTTAAAGCAGTTAGGCGGAATGGCAAGTAATGTAGCTAATGGGAGATTTGGGGCGTGCAGGATTGCTGACTGGCGTGTTGGAAACCATCGCTGATGTAGTAAAACAGATACAACCCCAAACCATATTTAATATAGTCAGTTACTCGGCCCTAGTGGAACTTGGTGGATTGAAACATAAAAGTTTTTCTCACATCGACCCCGACCCCGTACATTATGAAATCTGACTTGCCATCTTGTTGACATGGCCGACTGGCGAAATTGCTAAGGTGACTTAACTTTTGCTGGAACTTTAAGCAAAATGAACCCGCTGTGCGTGCTGTTAACGCATTAATTTATATTTTAATACCGGTTTTACGCAAAGGAACGAACTGGTTTAATCCGGGCTGCCGTGTAACACCAATAAAAAACCTATAAATGATCTCTAACAGACAGCATCTATATGATAGTATTTCAGTCCTGTATTGTTCTCTATTCACGGGGTTGTCATCCAATGCGAGATTGGTTCCATGTCTCAGCGTATCTGCACGCGAATTGGATGAATAAATCAATAAAAAAGTTAATCAATGGATTGAGTATAAAATTAAAAAATATATTAATTAATAGATTTAATAGAGAAAGTTAGAGACTACAATTATACAGTAATTGACCCTCCCCCTCCACCCCCCAAAAAGGATTTAAAAGCACCCGGTCGTACACAAGGGTTCTATTGGACTATGGGTTCTCACGTTTCTCATAAGGTTAAGCTTTTTTTTCCCAGAGCAGATTTTATCAATAACGGCTACAGCGCAGTAATAATTAATTACCCCATAAAGATATATTTAAGATGAACAATTCGCCATTACATGCTGTAGTTGTGATCCCTTGTAAACATGACTAGATACTTCCCAGAGAAGTTAATTCCCAATGGAATATTTGGCACACAGAAGAAAGAATATATGTTTCTCTGGTATATTTATCCCGTTTTAACTATGACTTTGCAGTTTCACTGAGTATCTCCAATTTTGCAAATATATATTGAAATGAATGCATTCACTAATGGTATCTTCATTTATCATTTCCAGGCCCGTGTGAGAAGGTCCAGTTTCCATGCCAACTGACGGCAACCTATGGCGTCCCGGGGCAGTGCAACAAATATTTCCAGTGCAGCCATGGAGGGGGGTTGCTCTCCGTTCAAATGTGCCCCTCGGGGACTTTCTTCAACCCCTTCCGCAAAGTCTGCGACATTTACCTCAATATGGAGTGCACCCCCAACAACTGTCCTGACGACTTCGTGAGTCGCCTGGAAGCGTACTCAGAGGAGCCGTCGACCACCACGATAAGTACGACAACCAAGGCCTTTGTGACACATAAACAGACAAGTGAGTTTGCCTGGTTTATTATATATTCAGGACACTTAAAGATTATGGATCCATGGGAAGCTATATGTAGTTGGACACTGGACAGAAATAGGAGGATCCTTCTTAAACCCCCACCCTTCCCACCATCTCTTGCTTTCAACCGCTGCCACTTTCTTGACACCCTGGTCTTGCCTGAAATGGAATAAAAGTTGAATGCACTTTACATGGTGCATTAAAATAAGCTGCCGAATCGAAATTGCTTATACATTAGGGGAGACCGGGGCTAGTTGGACCCCGGGGTAAGTTGGCCCCCCGTCAATTTATGAAAAAGTAACTACGAGGTAAAAAAATTGACCACACACTCTTGCAAAGTGACCGTAGCCTACAATGCTAAGGAAGTGTCGGATGTTAAAAAGTTTTACGGTGAGTCGAAATAAACGATTTTAGCACCTAAAAGTAATTTTATTTAAGAGATTTGAAAATCTATTTTCATAGGCTTTTGATCGAATATAAGATATGTATAGGGCATCAAACTGAAGCTCATTGTTTCAAGTTTCACAGAGATGTATCATCGTTGCCCATTCTAGCACCATAAATGGCTACCATCCTTTAAAATAAATAATGTGCACCCGGGGCTAGTTGGCCCCCTTGACTCGGGGCAAGTTGGACCCTCATATTACCCACAAACCTTTGCGCGCAACGCTGTTTGAAATAAACAAGTTGGTGAAATTGACAAAGCTTGCCGGTGTCTATTACCGTCTGATTGATTTTTTAAATTTTCTCTCTGGTGTCTTTTTGAAAATTTATATTAGAAATATTCTGTTGATTGTAAGTATTAAAAAGCAAATCCATTGGACTTTCCGTAGAAAAACATTTATTTTGCCTTAATTCATTGTAAGGGGTTTCCCTTTGTATTTATAGTGTTATATGTGGCCCCAAGGGGATTTTCCACCCTTCCCTTGCTAAAGAACATTGTTGAAACAAACTCAATGGTTTAAAAACTGAATTTGTTACTTTCTTTTAAAAAGAAAATTTATCATTCGTTTTCATTCATTAAAAACCTTCTTTATACCATTATTTATTTATTCTTAATTAAAACAAAACACATTTTATTGATAGATATTTTGGTTCTTGCAACACATACCCCCCCCCCCCCAACGTGACGTATGGAAACATCAATAAATCTGCCTCATTTGAACTGTTTATTCATCAAAGACTCTCAAAAATCAATTAAATAAATTAAAAATTTATAAAAATGTATTTCAAGGCGTTTACATGGGATATATACTTCATTTTCGTATAGGGGGGCCAACTTGCCCCGACCCTGGGGCCAACTTGCCCCATGGCGGGGCAAGTTGGCCCCCCTGACGTCAACTGCGTTTTTTGTCAAATTGTGAGCCACCTGGCATTATATTTGAAAAATAATGACGTTGCATACGTAGCTTAGTTCATGGGGCTTACTTTGAAACCAGTTTTGTTACTCTAACCCACTCCTAGTTGGCTCTACAAGGCCAAAAGTGTCTAACTGGGCCAACTAGCCCCGGTCTCCCCTACACAAAGGAGCATAAAGTTCTTCTGAAGCTCCCCTGTTGAAAATACACGTGGTTTAATAAGAAAAAAAAAGCTGATTTCTTTTTCTAATTTTCCCCTAATTTGTTTACCCATTTTTGTGAGTTAATTTCATTAAGAGTTATCTCTTTTCCAGAGCCCTGTGGCGACGTTTCTCTCCCCTGTACTATAGGCACCACCTGGCCATCCCCCGGCCGCTGTGATAAGTATATAGAATGCGCAGGTGGGATGGAATTCCTGGAACGTCCCTGTCCCATCGGGACAATGTACAGTGACTTTCACAAAAGCTGTGGCAGAGATATCCAATGTATCCCTAGGGACTGTAACGGGAACGAGATTGGACCTACGTACCCCACTTTTCCCGTTCGTCCCACCACCAAGACAAAGAAGCCGACGCAGCTGACGTCACCGGAAGTGAAAACAACAGACACGGAAAGTCCGAGTCCAACAACAAGTACAACAACTACTACTACAACTACAGTTACGACTACAACAAGTATGTTACGTTTATCTTATATCATTTTGCAAATAAAGAACACGCCCAGTGGTTTAAAAATACTTGATATTTATGATGTTAACATAAATTTTAAAAATGTTTGTCATCTTTCTTTATTTTACTATAGTTTTCGCAATATGTTACAGAAATTGAAATTAAGACTTCTGTCCAATTGTTTTCTTTTGCCTCGAAAGGATTTATTTGTTAAATAATCTTTAACAATTGATGGTAAGCTTCTTTTTTCAGTAATTTTGTATCTTGATCGAATATAATCGGTTTACGTGTATTGCATGTTTTTTGAAGGGATATGGCCGCGTTGAGCATGGGTATATTTAGTCTTGTCAAGGGCATGAGTTAACTCTTTACATTGTAAATGTTTACCATATCTATAATAACGAATTTGTTGGGTATCACAAATAATAGATCTCTATTTGAAAGTCCATTATCCTATATATTTCATCATTCTTTGTTTACCATTCTAACGGAAATACTGAAAGTGCGACAAAAAGCCATTATTCATGCAAACCACGGCATCATACGACTCTACTTGCCTGTCAGTTGGCCTTATTAATTGCGTCTTTAAACGCTACTTTTTTTACATGCAAGCAAAATGGCCACTTTTTTCGTCGATCCAAGGTATACGTAATTTTTGCAATATGGCAACCTACTGGTATTTTAATTGTTTTTGTCTTTGAAGTCTGAAAAGTAAAACAAATGTCCCGAAAAACTGTACATTTCTATTGCCCTCCTTTTCCATGTAAGTACCTCTGACCCGTGTTGGTGTCTTACACCCAGTCATTATAATGCAAGTCTGCGCAAATAAAGCCCTTCAGCTGCTGAGAACAAGTCGTAAAACTCACATTTAAAACTAAATGATAACTAAGTGTAAATACTGTCTGATATTGTTCCACCATGACAGAGTAATTTAAATACATTGAAACCCGATGATGTTTTCATTCTCTTTCCAACCAAGACACGCTGAGTCCAAGTCCAACAACAAGTACAACAACTACTTCTTCAAGTCCGAGCCCATCAACAAGTACAACAACTACTACTACAACTACTGTTACTACTGCAAAAAGTATGTTACGTTTATCATATATTTTTCCCATGAAGAACACGCCCGGTGGTTTAAAAATACTACAGCCATCCCATAATAAATTCCCCGTTCACCTCACCCTACTCCTTTTCCCCTTACCCAGTTACCTTTTCAATAGGCACCATAGGGATGATTCGTAAAAGCTATATGTGAAGTAAAAAGAAACAGCACAACGACAGATTTGTCTAGGCTTCAACAAACTTCAGAAGACAACGACGGCAACTACACGGGCAAGTTCTTTGAACCAGGACTTTGCCTGCTTTTATAAAAAGAAGAATGGGTTTTAGGACTGAAGAACACTGACGAAGATGCACCGGCTGGTTTACCCCATAAATCAACTTCCGGCGAACACGCGGCACGTGGTTGGCTCCAAAAAACATCCCTGTTGCTAATGGCCAGATTGGCGCCAAACACATTTCCTTGGTTTCCCCTGCTTTTGAACTTTGTACCCTTTTCATATCTTTTTGTCAACGTTCCCATTCCAGCTCCGACCACCACGACTACCCTCCCCATCTTCCCCAATATAACCAGTGACCCTGGCATTGTTGTCACCTACAAGGGAGAGGGTATGTGCATGCCAACATACTACACATATAATTGTATGAGATAAATCAATATATATATATATATATATATTGTATTTATTTGGATGCGAGGGACGGGCAAAGGCAGGGTAATGATATATGTGGATTTTACAAATAAACCATTGGTTTGATTTATGTCATACAACTGTGAAATTTAGGGCTCCATTTAAGGTAATCCTGAATCTTGTCAGCCAGATGAAAAACAATATTTATTTATTTATTTATCTATTTATTTATTTATTTATTTATTTATTATTTTTAAGCAGTACCAGGTCACCGTTACAAAAGTTACAACCTTTTTGATATAGCTGCATGAAATGATATAATTCACGGTTACCTTGTTTGGTGGTCTCCCTTTGAGAGTAATGTTATTTTTGTAATTGTGTCTAGTGTATGTCTTGAACAATACTCTTGTAATCATTGTTCTATGATTGTTCCTTCAGTGTACCATTAACATTTTTTCCTGCGATTTACATACAATACATTTGATGTCATGTGCGTGGCGAGTTGAGGTTGTTTGTAATGTGTGACTCGGTTTGTGTTCTGTGCATGCAATAGCAAGTGTTTCAAGACGGTATGGGGTGTAGTTAATTATTGCATGATTCAGGTTTGTATAAAGTCTTATGTAGTTGATATTTCAAAGTAAGGCGTATTTACAAGCGGGTTTCTTAGGTCAATAAGAAAAAATAAACTAATTGAAGGTACCGCAAAATCACATAGCACATGGGTCCTATTGCCCAAAAGCATTTGACCAAATGTGTCCTAAGCAAATCCGATTGTGAAAATGCCCTTAACGAACAAGTGAGTATTTAGTGGCACACTGACTGGAATATACTTTAGGTCAGTCATACAACTGGGGAGGTCTAGAGGGGTGTTAAACACTAAATACAATCTTTAATTACAATTATAAAAACAATTATTGTAACAGTGACTGCATGTGGGCATATGCAAGTACAGTATGCGATCCAGATTTATTTTATGAGTTTTATTTTTCAAAATGTTGAAATCATTTAGGAAATAAATCATCTGAGCAAGAAGACGGCAGCCAGTCGTACAAAATGTTGGTCATTCTCGCCATCCTCATCCTGGTCGTCCTAATAGTTGCCGTCGTTGGCGGCCTGTGTATGTGGAAGAGGAGAGCTATCAAAAGGAGGTAGGAAAATGAAGCGCTTGGTGCACAATATAATCTGCCTTGTTTAAAGGGGGCGATCTACATATGGTAATAGTGCATATTATACAGGTTCTAGCTGGGTGCCTTTTTGAAGGAAAAGCTGATGAAATACGTCGTTTGAGTAGTTTATTTCAGAACTAGATAATCAACAAGTGGAATTATAGTATTTTGTTCAATAAAGATATAAACAGATGAGCTGCTGCAAAGTAGAGAGATAGTGTGTCAAAGTATGTTTACAACTTGTATGGAAATCAGATTGCCTTAATTGCCCATTAAGACAATCTGGAACTCCTTTCAATTTAAAATCTCAGTAAACTTGGCAAAGGGTATATTGCCTAGCATAAAACTACCCAATTAGTCACGGTTTGAAGCAATTGCGTTTTAGCAGCGGACCGGAGACAGAATCATGGTCTTTTAATTGCCCGTAAGTAGGTTATAGACAATCCTTAAACCCCTACCCCGGTTCTTGGTAGCAATCCTTGTAGATTACGACCCAAATTTGCATACAACCCTTGTAGTATAGGAACCAAATGCACATACTATCAAATTGTCATTAGTTTTGCCCTTGTTTGAAAAATAATGGGTTTTTCACATTGTTTTTTTCTATATCTAAGAGATAAAGAGGTTATCGAAAATTCATACATTTTTAAAAGCAGCAATTTGGCACAAATAGCTGTCAAAATTATACACCGAATGCCACGTATTTAGACTCGGACGCCATCATTATCGTGTCGAGTGATGCATTTCCTTACTATCTGCGACAAAAGATGACCGCAAACATGTATCCGACATGGCCGGTGGTTTGATGACCAGCGACGATGATTTCAACGGAGTGGAAAGCAAGGACAATCTAAATCATTTGAGTCATCAGAGAGATTGCAGAATCAGTGTAAAGTAACTGACAGTATCTCTGGCTGTATCTTTTGTAGTCATCCCCATTTTAAGATATTATGATGATGACTGTTGTTCTGATCTTCCTTGCTACGCCGGCCACTCCCTCGGAGTCAGAGTCAGAGAGCGTGAGGTGGTCAACTCTGTTATAAATATAACGGGTTTTAGACTGGACAAGAAATTGTCATCTTGAAAATGCATGTGGGACCTTAAAGATCTTTAAGATAACGGCAGGATTGTCTTTTTAAACATAGAGACGAAGATTTTATACACTTTCAAAACTACCAGCTATTTTTGAGATATATCGCATTGTTATTGTAAAGTTTCAATTCCAAAGCTAAATTAAGTAATGTAAAATTGATAAATTCAATTTATTGGAATGAATCATGCCTCTCACGCAAATGACATTTTTTAACAAGCATCAATCAAAGTTGTGTTTTTTATTTTAGTAAGGTATATTTCTGCCTAGGGTTGGTGATGCAAGGTGACATTATCTCCTCTAACTCAGTGTTTGACATTCTTGTGCACATCCGTGACATACAACTATAGTCCGTACAGGAGAACATCCATGCACCAAAAATTGAACAGGTTGTTTAAAATAAATATTATATTCAAAACAAGGTGAAACTTTCGTCTCTATGTTTAAAAGATATGTTTGTCAAGGTTTTATTTTATCAAACAATTCAAAACTATGCTAAACTTTGGTCTCTTTGTCAGCGTTTTATTTTGTCAAACAATTCAATGCATTTTTTTATATCTGATGATCAATCACCGATCCCCCGACCCCCCCCCCCCCCCGTGTTAGCTTCTTAGATTATTAGTATTATCATTATTATTATTATTATACGTTATTTTTTTATAGTTTCTTTTTACTTTCGTAGTTGAACGAGGCATATAACACCTTTAAGTTGTAAATATACCATACTTGTGTATAGTTTTTAAGTTTTGAGTTTTTATTTTCCAGTTAACGTGCTCAATAACTTAAAGCTGTTTCTTTCCAATGCAGTTTATGTCTGTTGTAGAATCACACCTATTATCTTTCATACATAGTTTTACAGCACATCAACTAATATTTAGTCCCAAATAGAGTTAACAATTATTAAATATCAGTGGGCTCAGTGACTATGTCGTCTGCGGTTAAAATGTAGAGAACAGATCTTTTCTGTATCCAGGTGCTCCTCATAGCTGCGGCAATGTAATCATTTTAATATTTCTTGTTTTTAAACAACTTCTAAGAGGACCGATTCTTCTGTGTTGACCCAAAATCTCGTGCTGTGCCGTAATCTGCTTGTCACCACAAAACCCCAACACTAGACTATTATATTGAACCTGTGCAACTGATTTACTTGTTTTTCTGTGCATCAAGATGTTGCATGTATATATCCATTGTAACTACAATAGGTATTAGCGCCCACGTCAACTAGAATGCATGTGATATAGCAACCGTTTTCAACATACCCCACCCAAACCAATTCTACAATTTTTTGCAGAGATACCTAAAGTTTAATCAAGTTCAAAGAATTAGTTAAAAAAAAGGAGGCAAGGCATTGTTGGAGGTTTGACACCTTAGCTTTTTTTTCAAGTTTTGTGCTGTTGTCCCCGATTGAGTTATGTAGTCTTAAAAGACCTTTGGAGTCAAGTTTCGGCGTGAGAATTTAAATTAAAATTGAGTCACTAATTGTCATGGTAGACCAAATTTTACTACATAAAGATATAGGTCATTCTTGTACTAAAAAAGGTAGAGTTTTCGGACTAATTAAAATCAGCAAAAGCATACAAATGACAAATTTATTGGATTCTACGTTTATTCTAATATTGTATCATATACGTAGTACTTAATTTGTCGGCTAATTGTACATGTGCTATTACTTAATTGCATTACATCTCTCTACAAATGAGGGATAGTTTAGTTCTGTCTCTGTTGGCGAAGAGCACAAAGTAAAGTTTGTTTTAAGTCAAAGTTTTGTTGCATCTTTACAGCCTACACGTACCGAAATGTACGTGGGAAATACCGTTCACTTTTCAATGCCCGTAAGTATTTTGTAGTCCCTAACATGTTTGCAGAATGTTAGACCCTACTGCTTTGTGACTGGCATATATAGATGTTATATGATTATAACACTGAGCCTTATTAGAATTTAGCAACTTTTTTATTGAAATAGTACCTAGATATTGTATATACCCTGTAGATATGTAGACGTTAATAGCAACCGAAACAAAGCAACGATGCATATGTTCTGGTAGAAGCATTTGTAGAAGACTTTAGTATGTAGGCTATAAATAAATAAATATCAACAGTGTGAGTGTGTGTGTGTGTGTGTGTGTGTGTGTGTGCCCGCGTTAGCGTGCACGCGCGTGTGCTGTACTTGTAGATTAAAAATATAAAAGAAGTCGCATAGAAAGCAAAAATTTATAATAGGTAGTATTACATATTAATGAAGCCACAATAAAAAGTTATCTGCGTAGGCTCTACTAGTAGTTGCGGCTAGTAGTAGTAGTAGTTAAAATAGATCAACCCTACCATTTTAATTGGTCTATTCTTAGACCATTTTAATACATCCATTCTTAGACCTGGATAAACAGGTTTTTTTATTTTTGTGAACATTTCACCCTTTTCGAGGGTAACACACGCCCGATGGACAGATTGAAATATGGTAGATAGCCGTCATAGCTTAAGTAGATATAGTATTTCATATATCAAAATGTGATTTTATGGTCTTTTTATTTGATATGTCTTTGTAATGGTTGTACACCTTTCTGTTTAGCCATCTTCCTAGTGATTGCATGTTAAACACCATTTTGATATGTTACCTTAAATTGCACTTTCTGTAAATGTATACTTTGGCCGAGAGCAGCATTTTTATGCCCTACATTAAGTTCAAAAGTTGATATGTGCATTGTTCTTGTGTAGATGATTTTAATTGAAAATAATTACTCGTCGTCAGAAGTTCAGACTGTCACAGAGCAGGTAGCAATACAAGACTGAAAGAAACACAGAAGTTCATTACTATGTATTAATTACCATTTTTCTTATTTTTCAGATTGCGTCGCAAGCGTCGCGCGCAGCGTCACGTGGACAATCCCGAGTACGTGTGGAAGACAGAGGATGCATACGCCGAAATTAACGAGCAGCACGTAGGAGTAAGTGGGCAATATTATACATGCTTTGACAGATCATTTTTTCTATTTATAATATCATTCATTTTGTAAATATTCATTTTTTTTTTTTTCAAATTTGATTGTCTGAAAATATAGGCTACGATCCTTTGATTGGAAACAAAATTTCGTGACAGGCATTGCATTTAAAAAGATAAACGTAAAAATACTGTCTTCATCACATCCAATGGTTATTTTAGCGAACCTTGCCCAAGAAGCCAAACATTCCCCTCCCAGAAGTGCCAAACGAAGATCCTATATATAACAGCATCCCTGACGTCGTTCATGAGCACAGACCAAAGAACGCCACGTGGGGCGAGGAAGATCCGGGTCCTAAACATCATCACCACGAGTCTCGCAAAGCACACGAGACTCTCGCGGTGTCGCCACAGAACAACTCGGCCTCCCACCATTCTCCTAAACAACACAGCCCCAAGCACCATAAGCCGCGGCATGGCGGGCACGCGGGGCAAGGCGGCAGGACGAAACACGGCCATGGCAGAAGGGCGCGGGAGAATTCGACGAAAGAGTTGATATCCCCCGGCGCCAAGGACAGTAACACATACAGCCACGCGTGGGATTAGTAGAAAAACGCGACAAACGTCATTGTAACACTAGTCTTATGAATTTGTTTGTCAAAATACAGGAATTATATTCACAAGAAGACTTTCCCTTGTGCATGTTGTTCTTGAGGTATGAAAACTGCCATAATATATCGTAGTGCAAGCTCATCTGTCGCACTTAACAAGTGATTTGACAGGAAAGTAACGGAAGTCATGACTGCAATTGTACTCACGAACAGGACACAGTCCACGTGTTGATTGTGAACAGATATTGCCAATGTGTGACACAGTTGATGGCCGTTTATAGGATACACGGCCACATGGTTCAATTTTTTTCACGCGGAAGAACTTCCCTGAGAGGCTTGTACATCTAGAGGCAGCTCTGTGTTGGTTTTAACAGAAATGTTATTTGTTCTCTGATAGATTTATAAGTCAAATGCGACTTTCTCCGTGCGTTTGTTCGGAAGATTTAAAAGTTTGCGTGTTGGATACATCTGAAATGTAGAACTATCAGGTTCTGAAGTCATGTCATCTGACATATAGTAACGTAACGTGACAATGACACGTGTTTCAAAGTAAGATAATTTATCCATATATACAAAAGAACACGAGGGATGTTTCAATTAACAAGAGCGTATTATATTTTGGTTCACATATGAGGCAGCTCCAGAGGTCTTGACTTTTAGATAAAGGGGTCCTGAATCTGGTTTTGTGTGTTTCAGTTCCGCTTTAAGGGGTAGAGATGGCGGAGAGGGTGTGCAAAATAACGGGTCAACATTTTGTCTCTCCCCCCCCCCCCCTGTTCAAGCTATCCCAGACCAACCAGCACACAGTCTTATTACAGCCGAGGGTACACAATTCCAAGAGAATACCGCTAAATAATGTGCTAGAATTTTCTCACAGATGATCTTTTTGTTACCCTGAAGCGAAATTAATATTTTGTGCGATTTTGAAAAGTCGCCATATGACGTCACACAGAGTCATTTCCTTGTGACGTCACGCTGTAATTATCTAAATTCGTCACAGGACACAGGTGGACATGCAGCCGAAGCCGCTCACAGCACCTTTGACGGATGGGTATATTCTACCCGGGAGATTATCTTGTTAGTATTTAGATTGTATGGTGTGCAATGTGTCCCTTATAACATTGACGATCTATTTCTCTGTAAATGAATGAATGAGTCCCCTTTATAAACAAAGTCACCGTGAACAAGCTTTTAATTAGTCTCATTTCTACCTAGAGCTGGTTCAATGTCTGTGTGGGCGTTCGAGACGTAAAGCCATGTTTGTATGCGGATTTGGAGAAGTTTAATGTTATGATGTAAAGATTAACTTTTACAGAATTTGGTTTACAGTGTATGTCTACAAATATGTATATATACATGTACATGTACTTATTTGGTGCTTTTATAAAAATAAATCCTTGTTGACTGTAACGGGTTCCTTCTTACTTCCTTTTTATTTTCATTTCTGTAAGCGATTTGTGCGATGCATGCAGAACTGTTTGACATCAATATTTGCAATATGGTCGCCTCCGGGAAAAAATGTTGCTAGGTCTTCTTGGTCTGAGCAGAATTTAGAACCCCTTTATGTCTGCACCGTGTTCCTAGAGTTGGCATCTAGAATAAAATAAAAAACATTTTATATAAAAATGATTGAAAAGGACGAAAGAAAGGAGTAATAATGCGAAACGATGAAAATCTGGTTTGCTACATGAAGTGTTTTTCAGTGAAATGAATACCGTAGCATTCACATTGTTCGATCTCAACTAACGCAATTATGTGAGAGAAAGTGAGAAGGACAGCCGCTTTCCATATAAACATTTGCTTGTTTCATGATTACTGTGTGTCTTGGGGATGTGTGTTCTCAAGTGTTTTAGTCTCTGTCATCAAACTTGGCTTGCTCTCGAGATATGACCCCTAGTTTCAGAGATATTTGCCATAAAAAATTACTACACGTATTTTACAACAGAAAACTCAGGTATATCATTTTTAAAAAGCTTGGTAGTGGTGATGGAGTCGAGTTTTCAGTAAACTCTCTTGAGGTCAAGCGGCGTTATTATTGACCGCGCCTATTTATCAACTAAGGTGACAACGGTCGATACAAGAACATTTCATTAATTTATTCCCAATGAGGCCACCCATTAGCAAAATTGCAGGAAGTCAATTACAGATAGTGAAACTGTATAGTACATGCGACCTGTCACCGAGCTATTCGTGAGGGGAAGATTGCCGATCAGAAGTCAACGCAGTTCAGGGTTAAAACGCCTGAGCGCTTACTATGTCATGCGGACATCTTTTGCGTATTGGGGACTATATATTAATACAAATTTCATTTCAAGGTCCGAGCAGATGTTTTTCTTTTTAGTACGTTTTATATTTTCTTAACGTTTTCATTAGAGTTGTCTTCATTTTCAAAATGTCTGTATATATATTTGCCACCATAGCAACATTACTAACCCTTGTAATGTGACCTATATGTACATATATATAGATGTGTGTTGACAGGCTTTGGATGTTCCAGTATAGTTAGCCTGAAGTATTTTCGACTAACAAAAAATATTTGAAAGCGACATCTTAAGAAGGACCTGTTCTTAATTTGTGTGTGTGTGTGTGTGTGTGTGTGTGTGTGTGTGTGTGTAAAATCGACTATTTCCTATTCAAATGTTGTAAAATTCAAGTTTTATATGAAGCTAAGGGTACATATTTGCCAACTAAAGCCACAAAAGCTTGGCATTGCCTTGATTAAGAAAATATATTTTTCTACTTCTTTTTCTTGATTAAATGGGAACCATACCAAAAGTACCACTTTTACCAACAGCGACAGAAGTAAGAATCGAAACGTGTAATACACATGTACATATGAGTGAATAAAAATAATTAACTTTACAGTAATGTGGGACTAATACATGTACGTCAGCAAAGTGATGGTCAACACATACACTTATTTAATCTGTGTGATTCTTGAAATATTAACGTCATTGTGGGAGTTCAGGGGAGAGAAATCATTAGTCACTAGTAATAAGGCGTCTTTGGGTGACATTGGGGAAATTTGTTTGAGTGATTGGTATCGTCCTAGTCCCAGTGATCTTCCCCTTAAAATGCCAAGAATTAAAATAATATGTTGCTGATTTCTAAGTTCATATAAATGCGTGATATACGCAGTAAGTAAAACCATCAGGATAAAACAAAAGTGTGTGGGTTCCAAAAACAAGGATACAAAATGGCCCGCATGTCACTGTCTTGTTGTTCAAATAAACTGCCGTGTGATACAAGTAGTTCTCACAACACGCACCTTGAGTAAAAACGTTAATTTTGCACCAGCTCCGATAACTGGTGCTCTCCAATTTTTCAATTGAAAGAGTGATCTAGAGAGTAAGTGAGAAATCGATATTAACAATTTAACCGCTTTGGCTCTGCTCTGATAAATATCGCAAATGCAAAACTCTGTCGAGGTTCAGTTTATTAAATTCGGGAAATACGCGTCTCACGATGCCTCGTTATACAGTTATTTTAACATTTCTCCTAGTGTTGACTTAATACGTCATTTAAAGACAATGCAGTCGTTTGGTTTTGACATTCCAATTGATTTTCAATTGATTTTAAATGGTCACTGCAACGGTCGCTTCCAAAAGAGTTTTTCAGTCACCATTTCCTTAAGGGTGCTTCAGGGGCACTAGTGAAAACATATTTAAATCTGACAGGAAAGTGGCCAACCTCTTTTGACTCCAAAAAATGTCAAAACATCGTTAGTTTTAAGAAATACTTTTACCACTGAAATTGTCAAAATTTTGAAATAATGGAGATTTTTCGCCCTAAATGACAAGGCTACAGGGTAGGCCTATTGTCGGCCATGATGGATACTGCTGGTGGAGAAACCAGCAAATCCAAACCGACGTGCAATCACCCTTGTATTACAGCATAATTGGCTTCATGTGTCAAAGAATAACGGGAAATAAACTGATGCACAGTATTGTAGATAAAAGTGAAAATTAGCGTTAACGACACTGGAGGTAATTTCCTTGCCACATCAAGCGCTCTTTTCGTAAACATCGCATTTACAACAACCTATATTATTCAGACGTTATTTGTTCCGTTTGCTTTGAACGATGTAATTGTCACTGAGGTACCTCTAGGGCTCGATGTAAAATTATTTTATGAAACGGATTATTGAAAGAGATGTACTAATGAAGAAAACAGTGGGGAGTTGAAAAAAATTAAAAAAATTTAACCCAAGACATGCACGTTTTTCACTAGATGTCATTGCCTACTTTAAAACTTTTCCATGGCGGCAAGTATAGGCATCTGATAACACCTGATGCCACAGACACGTGCTTCATGATGAGGGTTGTGATAACCGACAGTGACGTCATCAAAGCAGTCGCGATGCACTCGGAACTACTCGGATGTCTCCGCACTCGACAATTTGTATGGAGCTGGCGGAGTCAGCCGAGGATTGCCGATTGGTGGCAATGACATGTTTTATTTAACATTACGTAAATGTAGACATACCATGATCTTTATACAACAAAGTCTTTAAAAAACAAACAAAAAGATCAATTATCAGGGAAAGGTCAACACTATTTATTTATTTAACAAGATGCTTGTATACTACATTTCGAAAATCGTTTACAGAATCACGTTATTACAAATTATAACCCCATTTTTGGGTTTCTCGTTTTTGAGTCACTCTCAAAATGATGAAGTTCATTCGTGACGGAAATGAGAACTCGACAATGGATTAATAGATCGCAATTTTTAATGGCTTCTAATGGCTTAGGGTATTTGTAAAGGTATTATTTGGGATTATGTAGAGGGAGGGTGTTAACTGCCTTTATCTACATCTAATCGCAAATTAAACCATCAATAATACCCGTTGTTGATGGAAGAAAGTAAAAGCAGACCTATGCAAAAGACGACCAAAGACGGTCTCTGATACTTCTTTAGATACATGTATATTCTGTTTATTAGCATCTCTCTTCTGTAAAATTACAATTACATTGCAATCAACGAAAACTAAAAATCTAAAAGAGCCATTCTTTATGAGAATAACATAACATACCACAATGTAAAACTGCTGAATTATGGCTAGTTCTTATGAATATGAGACAGTTTATACCGAGTAGGATACAGTTCACTATGTACAAAGTTGTCCGGACCTCAGTTCATAGCAATATGTTACCCGGTGTATTATTATTATAGTTAATTCTATACTTGATTACAATGCCAAATTTGTAACAGGGGGAAATGAAGCAATTTTAGTTCAGTGGTGCACTCTCACATTTTGTTATCACTATACAGGGGTTATTAAGTTAACAATATTGAATTTGACAGTTGATTGTAATAACGTTACGCACACAGAATTAGACTGATGACAGGCGCCTATCTAAATGTATGTCGGAGACTGACTGATCCGCAATTGATGCAGAGAAGCGGGCACATGTTAATTAAAAAAAAATTTTTTTGCTCAAAATACACCCCTTAAAATTTCAAATGTTCTTTTCAATATTTTAAAATCTCTAATCACAAAAGAAAAACTCATTTTTTAAGATTTGAAATAAATCCAGACGGGCAATAAAAGAATCGGTAACATTAAAAATCATTTAACATAAGTTAATTTTTTCTAAAGATAATTTCAAAAAATTAAAAAATCTTTACTCACATCAACTTAGTTTATAACGTGCCCTACATATAATCTTCTCTTCAGTCAGGTCCAAAAAAACGTTTACGACAAAATTTTTAATTTCTTCATTTCATGAAGAATTTCATGAAGAAAGGATAGTAGTCAAGATAAATAAAGAATGTATTGGTCTGACACGTTAGAGATGCTTTAAAATAGTCTTTTGATTGGGCCACTACTGATTTCAATTTCACTATTGATTCCTAACTTTTGATACACACACAATCTTGGAACAATTTATGGGATAGATCGTTCGGTAAATTGGATCCCAAAGTACGCAGTTCTGTTATGTCTATAATACAATGTCCCTTGTGGCCAGGGGCTTTTACAAAAACTCGGGAACTGTGACAACATACAACAGTTCGCGGTTTTAATATTTCATTTCATTTCAAGTTCATTTATTATCCACTCTTTAGGTCTACAGAATGTCGCCTTTTTTAACATGGCAATCTAATTATATATATATATATTTTTTTTCAAGCTTTTGGAAGAGAGAGAGAGAGAGAGAGAGAGAGAGAGAGAGGTCACACGAACATAGAGAGTGCATATTTTTCACATCACTAGTATGGATGATCATGGTTTACCGTATTTTTTTTCGTCCGAACCGCACTTAGTTCTCGCAGATGGACGGTTTCTAAATGACAAACCGCGTCCTTTAAGTCACGATTTATGGAGTTCACGTGCACGTTCACAAATTGAAAGAAAAAAGAACACGTTTTTCCCGGTCTACGATTTCATCAAGTATTTAGACTAGCACCCACCATTTTCCGTGCTCCATGTTTCTTTCAAAACGCCATAACGAATCTGAACACTGTTGGTGACATAGTGGGTGGAGGAGGAGGTGGTGCCAGTTGAAAAAAATCTTGTATGATATCCTTAATTACTGTATAAAATTAACAGGACACGTTACATTTAAGATACATTAAGCACATACGTCTGATCCTTACAACCTGTTATAGTTACGTTGACCATATACAAATATACCAGTGCGATACCAATTGAACATTTTCTAATACATTACAAATACCTTTAAATGTTTCAAATGTTTTTCTATTTTAAAAAGACAATTTGCGCATAACAGTTATACTACAGATTCATGTGTAAGCTGTGATCCACTGCTGTTTGGCTGACTACCGGTAGATGGCAGTGAAGGTGTTTTACAGACGTTTTGACTGCTGTTTGTCATTTGTCCTGCAAATGGTTTCTTTGAAGAGCGCTTTTTTCGGTGTAAACTCCTCCCACACAGTTCGGCCATAAGAGACAGGAGAAGATTTCGGAACTTTTTGCCGCAGATGCAATAAATTAAGAAGTTAGTGGAGGCATTAACTACCACCATCATGGAGCTGATCATATAGTAAACGAAAAGAGCGTCGGAACTTCTCACTGACTCGTTATCCAAAAAGTAGAGAAACTGAAGTACAAAATCACACGTCTGGCAGGCAACGAAGACCAAAACAACGACGACTAACATAACTGTAGTGCTCTTAGAAGGGTGTCCCTGTCCCGTGAGCTCGTGACGTCGTTTGCCCGCCTTGCGGAGCGCCAAGATCAGGCTAGTGTTCACGAAGACTAAAATAGCCATTGGGGCAATGAAATTTACTAAAGAATTCAAAACCATGGCATAAAAATACTTATAAGCGTCTGCATCCATCCATTCTTTATCTGAGTTAATGGGCCTCATGTGTCCTAAATCCACATCGTAACAAAAACCAAGGTCTAATTCGAACCACCGTGGCATGTTGTAGATCAATGACAAAATGGCGACGATAATGACGTGTTTTCTTGCTCGCGTCATAGTGCAGAAGGCGCCAGATTTCAGGGGTCTACAAACGACAACAAACCGGTCCACCGTCACGAGGACCACGAACCAAATACTGCACTGTTGAGATATGTACATTAAAGGTTTGACAAATAACATAAGGTACCCGTAGACGTCGACGTAATGGCGGGCCGTTCCCACATATTTCACAATTCCCATCAGGCTCAGGAAGAAAAAATGACACAGGAGATAGACAGAATCGGTCACGGCAAGTGCTTGGAGAGTCAACGCAGTTGTGGTTTTGGGGTTTTCACGCCGTAATACGACGAAGGAGAGCGTATTTCCAAACAATCCAAAGACGATGAAAGTTATGCATATCACTGATTGAGTAGAAAAGAACAATGCCCATATCCAGCTGTCGCTGACACGTGTAGAACACTCAGTTACGTTTTCCAGCGAAGAGTTCATTGTCACTTTTCTCTGGCACTGGATGGCACTAAAAAACGAATTTCACTTGGAATCAGATGCGTGTATGCCGTTTTTCTACGACAAAGCTTTTTTAAATGGTAACTAGAAAAGCACCCCGAGAGCGCAGACCTCCGCCAAAAACAGCAAAGTCTCCACCCAATGCCGTTTCACCCCTAAATTTTCATTCTATAATGATTTAGTTTTTTTATTATTGATTATTGATTGATTATTGATCCAGATCACCACCAAAAACTAAACTTTCAGTTCCTGAAAATTTCATCAAAATCGGTCCATAACTTGTTTTTTTTATTTTTGATTATTGATTGGTTATTGATCCAGATCACCACCAAAAACTAATCACTTCAAAGTTAACCCATTTCTGACCTACCCTGAAAATTCCATCGAAATTCATCCATAACTTTTTGAGTTATGTTGATGACAAACAGACAGACAGACAAACAGGGGTGAAAACATAACTTCTTTGGCGGAGGTAATAAAGGGTTATTTTGTAAAAAAAAAAAAAAACAACCTTGTGCACCTTCCACGCCCTACTGTGGGACCCGGCGTAACGTGATAGAGAGCACCCCATAACAGAGAGTCCGCTTCCCATTCATTTGTAGGCTACAGGAAAGCCTTGCCCTAGATTTTGCCTCACCTAGGCTAACCCTAACCATTATAACTAAATGGAGGGCGGATCCTCTGTTACACGGACCCTCAGTTTCGTTTCACCGGGCGACTATTAGATAGCAGGGTGGCAGTGAGAGGGCGGATAATACTACAGTAGGGTGGATTTTGACTCGTGGTCAAAATGCAAAGGTATTTATACTCCCCTCTCTTCGTCGATTACGCATTTACGTTTTTTTCTTTCCAGCATATTTTGAGTGATTTAAAATATTGTATTCTATTTTATCAATCAAGGACTCAATATTTCCTCACCAGACAATCTCTTTAAGAAGTAATACACATCTAAAACTAAATCTCTTCTGTCTCACATTTGGAAAGTCCACAAAGTCTGGCTTGCGGTTGTTATCAGTGTCAGGGAAAACTACAGTTTACTTGTGAGGTCAACCAGAGGCTCATATGACCTCGTCATTTATCACTTTTGACTAATTAAAAGCAAAACTCCGAAGACAATAATACTCATACTTAATAAATAAGTGACATTTTTTAAATTATAACTTATACTGATTCGGTTATTTTTTCAATTGGTGAAATCATAACCATTTACCTTAACAATAGCCCCATGCCCCCCCCCCCCCCCAGGCGCGTGCCAATACATTTACAGTATCAGTATTTACACACACACACACACACACACACACACACACACACACATATACAAAGGCGTACAAAGCAAAGTTTACACTATACAGAACACAATTTGATGTATATTCAGGATCTAATCCTGAATTACGATACAGGTCTTTGCAATGTCAACTGATTCACCCTTACCAGTATACTTACGGGCTGATATGATCCTATATAGACAAAAACCATTATGGTTTACCAACCGTATGCTTGTGCTATATGTTAAAAAATCCTGAGATGAATAAACTTTAAATAATTACTACCTAGATCCTACGGTAAAAAAACGAGACAATAGCACTCGGTCTATCATTAGTTATAACTATAGGTCTTTGCCATAGATGCAAACAAACAAACGAACAAAATGAAAAAAAAATCAAAGTTAAACTTACTGCTAAGGTCGTATTTCTAAAAACGGTTCAAAAGAGTGAAGCTCCAACAAAATTTCCCGCAACATCAACAAGTTTACCAAAGACTGCTAATTACCATAAATGCCTACCAAAATAAAGTGAGAAAATGTGATATCCACTTTTAGCAGCAGCCGTTTTGTTGTTAGGTCGCTGAATGAATGGGTTACCGTCTCATAGTCATATTATATACATTGATGTAGGATGCAGGGACAGGCTCATTATTTCAGCAAAGCTTATACAAATAATTATCGATCATAATTGGCATTTTAGGAGCGTCACATGCTGGCGTTCATAGGGAAGCTAAAGCTTTTAGATCTTGTTCTGACAGTTTCCATGCATTAACCAATTATCGCTTGCATTTATAACAAGATAACTCATTAGATACGCGGTGCTGTGGGACGTGAAAAAAAAACAAAACAAAAAACTAAGCCTATCAACAATTCCACTGATGTCTATATAATATATAACTGCACTTTCGTTTATTTTTAGTTGCAATAAAACACCTTCCATCAGATTAATAATATATCACTCCCTGGAGATTGAGCCGAGGCCGATTCACATAAAACTTGGAATGGTTCATCTCACCGACCCGCCTGTTTACTATTTTCTCATCATAGTATCATTGAAAGCCGTTCTAATCTCACTGGTTCCCACTCATCCCCATTGTAATCAAGGTGTGTACCTTTGGTGAGCGCACCGCTACCAGAGAGTGTTCTGCTGAGATGACTGGTTCTTATAGTTAGGCCGGTCTATCTTCACTGGGAATGCGCCTGCAGCTGCATGCAGAAAGAATACCAACAAAAAAATCTCTGTCAACGGTTGACGTGCATGTGAAGACAGAGTCCAGGGGAGAGAAACTTAAATAGGTCCCTACGAAATTGTTCCTAAAATGCATGAGTACACTTTTTTCTCAAAGACCAGATGTGAAACTGCTGGAACGTTTACACTTGGTTACCGGTAATATTTACATGTAAAGTTCGCCCGAGGTATGCTGTAACCTCGTCTGCCCTTCTCTCCCTAAAAAACCCTCTAATTCATTCAAACAAGTGCCCTAGTTTACTCCCTCTTGGGATCCAACCTAGCACCCTCAACATTCTTTCTAAACTTAATCTTGATGATTCTTTAATGCGACAGGTAAGTAGAAACAATGGTCGCGTTTGTCACTTCCCACATTAACATGATAAGTCCGGGGTCAACACAGTGAGCCTGTATGTGCATTCTATTAACCAACATTCAAGATTTCACAACAATCCATAGCATAAAGACACTTTTTCGAAGACCTAAAGCAGAAAATTGTGGGATTCAACTACATTAAGGATAGGGTTGCCATATTAGTAGTAGGGCTTACCACAGTATTTAGGTTTACCCATATGACCACTTTTAGCCTATTTTATCACGTTTTAGCCTTAACGTAAAGGTGCAGACACTTGGTTGTACTACCCCCATCCAGCTGTACAATCCTACTGCTGTTCCGCTCATAGATCGCTAAAAGTGCTGCCCGCATAGCTCAGGGACTATAACAATAAACTGTCTCTTTTTGAAGCAGGGACGAAAATAGTTTCTAGCGAAATATGTTTGAGGGTTACTTTATACTTTATCTAAAGACCTTAGGTACGCTGTGGCGCTTCTCGGTCGAATGGGTTGGACTTCTCACCTATAGAAGTGTTTTTTTTTTATAGAGTTGTTCCAAATGACATCACATCCTCTCTTCTAGACTGATTCACAAACACGGCAAGCAGTCTTTTTTCGCTTAAATTGTGAATTTAAGACCGCGTTCAGAACAGGGTCAAATATGGTCCACCCACTTACATACGGGGAATGTATTCAGTGTCTATTAGTAGATTACACGGCAAGCTTTTTAATGGGTCGCCATATTTGACCCTCGGACTAGTTAGTCCACTGCTCTGAATGCGGCCTAAAATTGATTGGTAACCAGACACTGAAACGTAACGAAACTGAGAGTCCGTGTAACAGAACGCCCGCTCCCCATTTAGTTATAATGGTTAAGGTTAGCCTGACCTAAGTGGGTCAAAATCTAGGGTAAGGCTTACCTGTACAAAGCGACTCTCTATCATGGGGGGCTCTGTCACGTAACACCGGCAGCACCTCGGAAGGGAAGAGAGATTTCAAGACTTTAAATAGCCTCGAACACCCTATTGTTATCAGGATAGTGAGTCACTATAGTGTGCACATGTGCAGTTTTTCAAAAGTTTACATAATTAGATGTTGTCCAAAGAGTTATTGTATTATTCACTGACACCACCAGTAGATGACTGTGAAAAGAGCTGTCTAAAACGTGCAATTTATAGGCGTAGATGCTCGCGGTACATGTTCGCCAAAGCGCATATTTGATAACGGTACCTTTTCAAGTGGTGTTGACTTCAAGGTAAATATAAGTTACATGGAAATTCACTTTGCATGGATCTTATTTTTATATTGTCAGTTTTGTTTCGTTTCGGTCAGATTTGGCAATTTTATTTTAACGACGTTAATTTCAGAGCGCGTGCACTGCAATATGCTGTCAGACCGACCTGATAACCCCTGGCCCACTCTGCTGTCTTTTTCAGTTGGCCAGGCCAGTTTTAGACCCTATTCCCAGAGATTAGATCGATCCAACTAGATCGACCTAACTCCCTGAGGGTTCACGCTAAATAGCTGTCAGCCGAGCGGGTACGAAATGCAAGGACAGTATCATTACATATCTTCACTTAAGAAGATGACAAGTCTGGTAAAGCAATGATTGATAGTTACTCTACAAACAGAATTTCACGAGAAATATGATTGATACAGTAGTCAACTCGAAAGAAAAAGCCTTGCTTGAATTATGAAGCACAGCTACATTTAAGATCCTTAATGGTAGAATTAAAGGGAACTCGTTAGGATGCAACATTTGTCATAATAAGCATGGGTGTAGAGAAGTAGATTACGTTATCACAAACGATAGACTGATGAGAGAAATCATGTGCGTTTTATTGTAACTTATAGATTATTTTTCAAAGTGAAACCATTATCTGTTAGATCTTGCAATCTACACCGTTGGTATTTAAGTAATGTCACCCACCCATTTAATACAAATTTCAAAGACCGCTACATTTTAGAAACAGACTCCACTGAAAAAAGTTACAAGCTCTCAAATGTGGAGGCAAAGCACATACGTGTACTTCCCGCCATCTAAATTACAATATACAATACAATCTCGGGAACCTATAGTTCATTTGACGCCGGCCATAAACAGTGTGGGTTTCTATGCTTACAAGTAGAAAAAGAGAAAAGTAAAAATTGACACCAGGTTATTCGTTAATTTTCGAATCCTGGTAATAACTTACGTACATCCGTGGGCGATTGAAGGTCAGAACATATTATGACGGCATCCCAGGAGGAGCCTTGACTGCCGCTGCAAATTGGATTAATCTAACATTTCTAAGACCCCATTCCTACAGACACCATCTTTCAGTTAAGATTATTGCTCTGTACTGCCCCACAAGAATATTTGCAAGCTAATTAAATAAACAAATAAACAAACAAACAAACAAACAAATAAATAAGTAATGAAACATCGTCACCCAGCTCGTCTCGGATAGAGAATAAGTACAGGTAGAGGCGGGCATGTTGTGTGTGCGCGTGTGTGCGTGCGTGCGTGTGAGAGGGGAGGGTCTTGTCCCTTAACTTTGCTGATCTATACTTAATTGAATATAATATAATTCTGGATACACAAATGTCGAGCATTTTGGAATAAAACGACACTTACCTATTGTTTCTTCATCTCTGTTTAAGGTCCCATGTTTAAAAACACCCTGTTGAATTTTGCATCTGAATTCGTGTAAGAATAGAACTTTCGGAGCAGGGGAAACAATCCCAGCGTTTATGAAGGATGAAGTTTATCTTTGCTTATTCGTAGAATGAAAAAGGAGAGATTTCTGAAAATTCTCTATCTTTATGCCTTTACGATTTTATGCACTATAACTCATAGTACGGGCATTTACTACTTAGTATAGACTTACTTCCACCAGATGGCGCGGCAGTGTAGGCCTCAAAACGGACATTTGCATTCATTCTCATTAATTTAGCATTAACCGTTTCATCATACAACCGTTGAAATATCCACAAGGTCGCCACATCACCATGCATGATTTATTTCACGTCGTGTTAATGGCCCATTACTTTTATTTAATAATAAGAATCATATTTTGTTTTTATTTATTACCTCACCCGTGATCTGTATTCTTAAAACGAGTGAATCCATATCATGATTAAATTTAAACCACAAAATTCGATTTTTTAACACATGGCTAAATCCAAATCCATCCCACGTCGTTACCCTCGAGTTCCACAGCAATCAGACATATGAAAAATAGCGATTTTCTGTTATTAAATGGATTAAGACGGCTAATAGACTATTACGTATTGTGTTCGGCGTCGCACCTATCGCACTCTCACAGCCATGCAAATCACAACTACCGCATTTTCATCATCAAGTGGGGTTTTATGTACAACTGCGATTTATCCTTAATTACTCTGTTCCTAGGTCTCTTCATTAAATGACACACCTCTCCATGATTTGAAACCAAACTCCTTGGTAAAATTCCGATGCATGATACAAGATATGTTTGACCCAGAATTCTTCTTAAGTGCATATGAGACAGTTGATACAAAGACTGGTGAAAGTTTCATGAAGAATGGACAAATCAAGTGGTGTTCATTGAATCATCTTGTCAGTGCACCACTTGTCTGAGTACAACACAAAGGTACAGATATGTACACGCAAAACTTACCTATTATCAATTTTTTTAACTGTGCAACAGACACGGACAGATTTATTATTGAAAAAAGCATTATTGCAAAACGAATAAACACAAACGGAGTAATTATTTTGCTATACATGACAAGAGATGCATCTATTTTGTATAGCAATACTGAGATAAATGACACCGAGATGCAGAAAAAGGCCTTACGTATCTGAAGACTTCTGCGCAGTTGGGCATGTATTGTATGTAACTTACTTGCATAGTATAACATTATTTCAACAAGGCAGCAAAGCTGTCAAATGTACAGACAAAAAGCAGGAAATAACAAAATAGGTTACTGTCAATTCTGATGCAAAAGTACATTATGTTAAACTGCAAATNACTACTAAAATAGTGGCCCGATCATGCCGATTTTCGAACTTGATCTGCGTTTTAGTAAGACTGATTACTCCTGTGAGTTTCATGACAACAGGCCTATCGGTTTTCCTTGAAATGTGTTAACAGTGTTGCATATATGCTGAAAAGTGAAAAAACAGCATAACTACTAAAATAGTGGCCCGATCATGCCGATTTTCGAACTTGACCTGCCTTTTAGTAAGATCGATTTTTCCTGTGAGTTTCTTGACAACAGGCCTATCGGTTTTCCTTATAATGTGTTAACAGTTTTGCATATATGCTAAAAAGTGAAAAAACAGCATAAATTTTACAATAATGGCCCGATCATGCTGATTTTCGAACTTGACCTGCGTTTTATGAATATTAGTCAGCGCTGTAAATATAAAGCCAAAAAGTAAAACTGTCTTCCACTTATGGTGTTAACGCTGAAAGTGCACGGCGACGGCGACGGCGACATGATCGGCAACGGCGACGACAGACGCAGGTGATGGCAATATGTACAGACACATCTGTGTCTGTACATAAAAATGTGGAGGCACAACAAGCACATTCTGAACATTTGCTCACCTGGAAGCACAACTATCACAATCTCACTCCTGTTAGCTTAAACCAGGAGAAACGAGGCAAGCCTTCTTAAACATCTTGCCCTAGCACAGACCCCTCACAATCTTCCACAACTTGAAGCAGTGATCATGTATCGATAGGGAAAAAATTATTGTATAAATAATCTCCACAGTCCAAGATTCTGAGAAAAAAAGGTCATGTTTGTCCAATCCACTTCAAGTAATGATAACAAACATCATTAGTAAAATCAAAATACATTTTATTACAGTTTGTGTTGATGCATAAACTGATGCCATGAATAATTTAACTAAAATGTCGTTCTTGGCAAGTGTACAGCAGTTCAGACATCCCTAATGAAAAAGTCCTATAGGATCCTATAAGACATCCTATAAGACATGCTACCTTTATCCATTCATTCATGAACTGTCAATAAATACAACACTAACCGTAAATTGTCTATGTTATGCAGCAGCCAATAATGTGTTTGTCTATTGTGTCAGGGTGAACTATTGGCCATTCTTATATTTACAAGATTCAAATTTTTAACTCCCATTCAAGGGTTTAAAAATCTAAAGAACATCCTTAATGCCCTGATCATAACTGTAATATAAAGTGTGCATTTCCCCACGGCCCAGGTCACATCTGGCTAGTACAATATCTCTCACACCGTTCTCAAGGATAAGGAAGAGATCAATCGAGATCATTCTCCGCCTGCTTTATCCTCCACTTTCCTGTCAGATGTTCGGGCAAGGGTTCGTAGCCTGGGCAAGGCACCTGTCCCGGCACTTCACAAATACACCAGCGTGGACAGTCAAAACCAAACTTGGGGGAAATGTTGCTCCTCAGTGCGCGCTCTTCAAACTCCCTCCTTTCTCTCCTATAATCAATCAAACAATAAACAAATCTATCAATCAATCAATCAACTTTTATCAATAGTAACAATTATGCTTACAATAATACTAATAATGATATTTAAAATGATTAAATTACTAAATACAATTCTGCAGAATGCAAAAAAGAGAAGAGTGAGGAAGTAAGGAAACATTGGATTTCTGCTTCATACAATAACAAGGCAGCAAAGCTGTCAAATGTACAGACAAAAAGCAGGAAATAACAAAATAGGCTACTGTCAATTCTGATGCAAAAGTACATTATGTTAAACTGCAAATTCAACATCAAATTTTAATTATGCTCAACAGGTAATACCAATGTAAGTAAAATGTGAAACAAGCATAAGGCTTCAGGCCCATGGGAGTTCAAGTTCACACTTTGAAAATGTAAAACTTCCAGAAAAAGAAGTCAATTAGACTGCTTTTCCAACTCAGGCTGCATTTTAGTCCTGTATTTCTTTTTTGAAAGTTTGGCAATCATAAGTAACATGGTTTTCCCATAATGGTCATCATGGCAGCAGCACCCAAAATTGTGTTTTCTTCTATTCTGATGCAATATTACATAATGGTTAACAGCATAATGACAATCAATTTTTAATAA